TTTTTTAGATCCAGCTGTAGGGGGCGTCCCATTTTTCGTATTCCCACCATGCATTTCGGTGGAACATGGTGGAACACTTTTTTTGTGTGGAGAACTCTATCTTGTATTTCTAGTATCTTTGATTATACGCATAAATATATAATTTGATTTTTATATAGAAAATCATTATTGACATGTGGCAGTTTCACAAAAGACAAATTATTAATATTGTTTAGTACAAGTTTTTACAAACCTAAAGCCCTGTTCAAACTATCTGGAATGTCTAAATATGGTGATGATGACATCACATCGTGACCATACATAGGTACATCAAGACTATAAATAGATATGCTTCGTTTAAGCAAATAAATATTTATTTGATTTTTTTTTTATTAGGTTTTCAGACTTTACCACACTCTGTTCATCTTTTAAGGGAAGGATTTGCATAACGTATAGAAAGATAATTTGAATGATCCGAAGGAATGCTTCCTCAAGCTGCGAGCCAATTGATGTATCTCGTACAATAAATGTCAACTCGTTTGCTGGTAATTAGCACATAAATATGGTGATTGGAATCTGTGTATTTTGAATTTGGAAATTTGGTTTAAGATCAAATGCTGCATCAATTTAAGAACATATCAGGAAAGTATGACGTGGTCGTAGAGAAAATTTGTTGCATGCATTTAACTGAATGACCTGAGCTTCCCTGTTTGACAGGTCAATCTACCTTGTTGGTCATTACTTGCGCCAGACCAACAAAGAATTAAAAAAATCATTCTTCCGTGCCCATAATAACCTCTCACAACTATTATAATCTAAAAACCACATTTCATCTTTAAAAAGTCAGCTCCATAATCAACTCAACAATAAATATTTGTAATTCTTTTCTTTGAAATGTTTTTATTTTAACCCCGAAACCTTTTGTAGAAACACCAGGATGGTGTCCGGTGGGGTATAGTTTTACCTGTAGTTAAGTTAGTTAAGTAGGCCCTTCTGTTTTGTATGAAGATTCCATTCTTGTTTTGAATGCCCCTTTCCATTTTTTTTTTCAACATCTTTGTTCTTCATTTTTGCCATGTTACTTGATTTTCATATTTTATTTGATGTCTGAATTGATTTGGAACAAAGTTTACTTGACACTTACTTACTTAATTAATATATTCTAAATAGATTAAAAATAGCCCAAAATTTCCAATTTTCTCTAGGTCGGGGTGGTGGTTGGGGAGTAGCATGCTGGAACCCATGAGGGCTTTTCTCTAAGAGCCTGACTGGGTCTAACTGTAGCACCCTTGCAGGCTACCACCAGATATTATGAGCTTTTGATTGCACAATGACGGTAGGACGTAGAACATAATGACATCACTAAGAAGTCATCTGTGCATGCGAGAAAGTTTTCCTCGTCGCGTGGATTCCAGGATTGCAATTTAACTGAATATACGTTGGACAGTCACGCATGAGTGAATCCGTTATAGCGTCTCGTCGTCGCGCAAATTGAAAGCTCCCTAATGTCAGACAGGTTTTTCCCCTCTGAATATATATTGCAGAACTACGATTATAATCATAATTTTAATTACACAAATAAAATGATATGATATGACCACCATTTACAACTATTTTTAGATTACAAGAAAATTTTTTGTATAAGAAAATTCTTTATTTTTAAAATCCTATCTATAAAAAAATGACATTTAGTTTTCCTTGGAATTGGTTTCTCATTTTCTCAACTTTCGCACCCACGTCCACCCCCACCCCCCCAGGCCACAACCATTCTACACCTTTGATGTTATTATCATTTATTGTACTTTTGTTTTTATTTTTAATAATCTAAATTTTTACAAATGCTGTTTCATAATTAGTTAACCTTGAGGGTAACATTACTGTTATTATCAAAAACAATCATATGCTTCACAAAGTGAAACAGACTGGAATGTAGCTAATGTGATGAGACATCTTATAAATGCATACGATATCTTTTTCTTGTTGATTGTTGTCATAGAGAGAAATCTGAAACGTCTGAGCCAAATTCGATCTAATTAAGACGTTGAAACATTAACAAATTCAATCAATACCATGATGAATTTTTGATTGACAACGACGAGTCACCGTAGAAACTGAAACTACGCCGGTTGAATACATGATTAAGATATCAAATAATTTATGATTGATAGATGTGGAATGTTAATAATTATGCATTAATTTCATGTGAACAACGTATGCTCACTGTTATCTTCAGGCTTTTCACGATTAGCAGAATATCGGGTGAGGTCACAGACTAATGCTCTCGGGAAAATTCGCCGGTAGTTTTCCACTATTAGGTGTTTTAATGACCTCTTCCACACGTCAGACAAAATATTTTCTCAGTGGAAACAGCTTGTAGGTTCTCACGTGCGTATCAATGACATTGGTGGAAAAAACGTGGTTTGTTTTTATCTCATTCGCATCCAGTGGCAAGTAAATCGCCAATTACAGGCTGGACGATGCTTTATGAGGCCTAGGGAGTGGAGTTGTTCCTTCACGAGAAAATTTCCTATTATCACAGGAATTGATCCCATGACCCTGCGATTAGAAAGCAAGCATTTAACACTAAGCTATTCAACTCCACTCCGGCGACTTTTTGTTGTTTTCTTAATAATTAATAACTATTACAAGGTATTATTATGGGATTTTATTTATATATGTTTTTAATGGCTCCTTTGTGTCAACAGATTGAAGTTTGTGGTCTCCCAATAAAAAAAAAAATGGGGGTTCGACTCCAATGCTAGCCACTTGTGTGTGCTTTTATTGTCATCATCATTATTATTAATATCATTTACAAAACTAAACAATTTTTAGTTAATTTTTAGACTTTTATTGTTTACTAAAGACCTTTGACCTAAAAAATAATATTGATGTCAAATATTGGCAAATAGAAATCAAATATAGTAAAACCTTACCTGCAAATACTAGCTTGTTTAATACAGTTCGTGACGTCAGCTTGTCTAGTTCAGCGTTTGTTGTGTTTCCTAACTGTGGATAAAAATAAAAAAACAAAAATGCTCATTCACGTTATAAGTAAAATATATTTTTATTATAGCATTAAAGAAAGGTATGCTTTAGGATTAATATTCATGAACAATAAAGAAAAAAAAAAATTGATCTAATTATGATCAATACTGTTTTGTGCCCTGCATCTTTGATTATAAGAAGTCACAGTATTTCTGTATTAACATTTCAAAAAAATTAATATATTATAAAGGACAGTGGTGGATTCAAGGGGTCTGGGGCAGCCAGGCCAGGTCCCCCTAAATGTTTTAAAATTATAAAAAAAATGGTGAAGAAAATTATATTGAGAGTGCCATTTCCGGCAATTATTCTTGCCTCAAAAACATGGTGCGGTTGAGGTGGTCTAGACCCTACATCTATGAAATTCCCTACCTGTGCCCACCTCTACTTGGAATTCCTGGTTCGATCATTGAAGAATGTAAATACATATTTGCTTTTGAAAAAAGTTCACATATTTTTAATATATATTTACATAAATTATTACTATCATTAGCCATTTATTAACCCTTTAAAACTTAACCATTAAACCATAACCATAAACCACAGATATAGCCATTAACCTTTAACTATTACACAATAATTATCATTCACTACTCATTATCCTTAGCAAATGCACAGAAAACGAACTTTTATAGAAGAATTATTTTTTTAAAGAATGTTGTAACAAATTATAATTTTTGAAAATAATTTGTTATGTAGGATGCATATCATTAGCTACATTTTGAGGTGTTCAAACTTTTTGTGTAAAAACCCTTCATTTTGAATTTCCCCATTATGAGGAAATGAATGAAATTCTGTTTTACCGTACTGTATTATATTCAGAACTGATTATTTTGTACTGTAAGTTTTAAATATAAAAAATATCAAGAACCTATGATAATGAAAAGTAATGATTGAAAAAGAATAAAAGAAATGAAGAGGACGTACAATATTATTTTATACACTGTACCTAAAAGGCAAAGACACTTGGGGGAGAAAGAAAATTTGAAAAAAAAATCAAGCTAGAAGCCGTTGGACGCAGCGGGAATGGTTTGGTTTCCCAACCTCGAGGTCGGGGTTTCAATCCCTCGCTGTGCATTTTGCTTGTGTCCTTGAGCAAGACACTTTATCTGCATTGCTTCTCTCCAACCAGGAGTATAAATGGGAACCTGGTGGGGTTACCTGCTCCTGCACTGATTACCAGCAGCAACACTTAGCATGTGGACCCAATGACCAGGGAAAAAGAACTTCAGCGCTTCGTAACTGAAAAGAAAGGCGCTATACATGTAACAACTAACAAGTAGATGAAGTAAGACATTTTCTAGACGATATAGCCCTGTCCAGATCTACCAACATTTATTTGACAGAAAACATGTTACATGCCTAAATATGGTCATGACGACATCATATTATGACCATATATAGGCACATCCTGACTATGTGGGCGAAGAAGAGTGTTTTGTGCAAAGAAAATTTAATAGTGTGGATAGCGCTTAATAGAATGCAGAATGTAATAAACAAGTGCGACCGCTCACCGGTACGCACGTTAAACTGAGGTTACCTCTATTCAGCATTTAACGTTTCGTGTATGCACCTTTCAGTCAGACGAGGCTCTTTGTTGACACTATTAAAACATGCTTAAATCATGGAGGAAATATCCTCCACGCTTTAAATATAGTACACAGTGGCGCAAGTTATTTTATTGTGTTTTCGGTAAGGGTTTATAATTGCCTTTACTGACTACTACTAACAGGGAAAAAATAAAAAAATATAAAATATATAAAATGTCTTGAAATTGAAAAAAGAAATAAATATAATGTCATAAATTGAAAAAAAAAAAAGAAATAAATAAAATGTCATATTTAAAGAGCAGCTTAGCTCAGTCGGCTAATCTGGTGGTAGCCACTTTGTGTGCGCTGAACCGTGGAGATCTCTAGGTCCCTGGTTCAATTCCCATCGCTGCCTCTCCTTGTGTTTCAGCTTGAGGAATGAAATTCAAGTTACAATAGCGCACCATCTTTCGGATGAGATGTTTAAGCCGTTGCACGTTAAAGAACACAGTACACTCTTCGGAAAAGAGTAGGGGATTGTCTCCCGGTGTACTGTTCAATCCCCACCCGAAGGACCCCACTGGAAATAAGTCTTCTTCGTGGGCTATCCTTGGTGTTTACACAGAATAAATCCACTCCATTCCATAAAATTTTTTAAAAAATCGAATACCAAGATGACCTTCAGTTCCTTAGAACACATCGTTAACCGACAGTGCCATCCATGCAACTTGTCCTATTAGTGGTAACGGCAGTAATGTACTGTCCTCTCTGAAACCCCGGTTTTGTTTTGTAGGTATAGGGGGCACCCTGAGGTTGAACTTAAAAAAACGTTTGTTAGAAATCACTTCTAGTTTATGTGTACAAAAATACCTGCACATCTGTTCAAAACTGGCAATGCTGGATGCTTTAAGTTCTGGTAACAACAACAAGAAAAGAACATAGAAAAAAATTAATGAAAGGAAGGAAATAGATTAAGCTAATGAAAAAGACAACCATGAGCCCATAAAAATATTGGGGCAGAATAGCATGAATATAAATAGTAATATATATTTACCCTCAAGTAATGGAGGGAATAATTTGTTTAGTATGTAGTTCATTAGTAATCAATATATATTCACCTGATATAAATTCAATCTAAAATTCAACGAGGAGAATAAAAATCAATAAAGTACATGAGAATCACTTTAGATTCATCTGCCATCATTTTTTTCCCATAAGATTATCTAATGTTCTATAAACTGAGTTAAAATATGAGATCTTCAAAGGATTTGAACCCAGGACCCTCGAATGGGAAGGCTGGCAATTTAACCACTATGGTAAAGTTTCACTCTATTAGGTTTATAACCATACTTACATATAATGTACTTTTTTTACTAATTACTAGTACCGCTATATTTATATTATGATTTACTTTATATTATAGTATCTGCTGGCTATCCTTTAACTCTGACTGCTTCATATTTAAAATTTATTTAAAATATCGTCTTTGAGTGCAGGGTGATGGAGTGCTTAAATCCTGTACTTAAATGATATTGCATTTTCAAAGGCTTGGTCAATTAATTTATAACAAAAATAATTTCTATTAACACTCTCACCGCCAGGGGTTTGAAAAATAGTATCAGCTACCGCCAGACTTTTTAGCAAATTTTAACACTTTTCCGAAGCTCGTTGAGAGTGCGTATGTGATCAGATTGACATGTAGTGAATACAATACATTTTAGCTTTACAATGGTTCCAAAAACTTTATTCTAATCATGATATGTGACCCGTAACAGTAAAATAAAAATGACTCACTTTTGGAGATTTTCGCAATTTTGCACAACAAAGCTGAGATAATCGCAATTTCGTGAAAGTAAATCAACACCGCTCTACGCTAACGTTAACAAACAAATAGTGAAATACTAATGGTCCAGAATGAATATAATGTTCAAATTGTTAGTACGGTACATGTCGGTAATTACTGCATCTATCGGATTCCGTAAAAAAACCTGAAACACGAAGATCTCCGTGTTTGGCGGTCAAACGGGCAGAGTGTTAATGCTCAGTAAAGAATTGGTTTTAATGAAATAAAAATTGCTACTGGCCCATGTATTTACTCCAAAAGCCTTCATGGTTATTTAGTTATGACAATCATTGTGTATGCAAAGGTCCTGGTTTAAATCCTGACGAAGTCTTGCTTAGCGATACATTCATGACAAAAATTTGAAGTGCATAAATTTTACAAAATGTTTAATCATAAAAATTAATTCAAGGGGAGAAAACAACAATATTATATTATTCAACAAAAGCACTATAAAGAGATTAAATTTAACTTTTTTTTGAAGGTGCTAAGAGCTGCACTAAATTGAAATTAAAAAATTATAAATGAACTACAATATATTAAGCACTATAGCATAAAAATGATGAAATTTTAGAGCTTTTAGGTGGTAAAAGCAATGAATTTAATTGTTGTGAAGACTGTTTAATTAACTTGAATATTTTCATCAATACTAATATTTATATTATATTAGACAGTATATTTTTATAGCCCAGTTGCATTATCCATGACCATGACTTGTTAAATTTCCTGTACAAATTCAAATATGGTCATGATAACATCACATCATTACCATATTTAGGCATATCATGACTATATATGGGCATCCAACAGTGTTTGTCAAATAAAATTTGTAGTCTGGACAGGAAGAAAGTTCTTTAAATGCTGCCCTCTTTTGGCCAAAACTGGTTCAGACTAATTTATGTTCTAAAACATATCACCTAAAACCTTCAGATAAGTGAGAGAAAAATATCAAATGTATCTCCCATAGCAACAATGGTATTGTTAAAAACCTTGTCCCGTTTTTAGGTTGCATTCAGCTGGTTTTCAATTACAACACATGAATGAAATACGGATCGGATTTCTCCACGCTTGTAATCGCCAACTCTGACAGAACGATACAAATCTGGTCACCAATCTGAAATTATGCGAGAAATGTGGCGTTCGATGTCCACATAAAAGGCATTAATCATGTAGCCTGATGATCAGAGAAATTTTTATGGCGCTAGATGATCAAAGGTACATTGCACATATTACTAATATACGAACATTTTTCATCGCAGGACTACTCAGAGTCATTGCATATAGAATGTTAACGATATATTTATGTGTTACTATGACGATTGTAGATTTAATCAATTTGTTGTCGTCCATAACCTTTGTCATAATGCTTGATTTAAGCAGGCTCATTTTTGTCGCATCTTCTGGGAGACTCTTGGTTAGCATCATTAATTTATTCATCGACAACAAGCTCAGTTTGGGATAGATCCTCTTTATATGTAAATTTAGTTTATTAAAAACAATTTATATGACATGTGGATTGCAGAAAAACAAGGCAATTTAATATTTTTTCCATTCCTTAGATTTTTCAAAATTATTATTTCACTTCTTCCAGATTT